AGTGCAACGTGGCATTCGCTGGTTTGTCAGGCGCGTGCGGCTCCGGCCTTGGTGCTCCCCCCAGGCCCATTCCCCCGCCACTGCCCCGCTTCCCCGTGCTGCTCCGCCTTCCCCCGCTGCTCCGCTTCCCCTTGCTGTTCCGCCCTCCCCCCCTGCTCCGCCACCCTCTTCTGCGCCCAGCCCAGCAGCTGCCCTGAAACCCATGTCTCTCGGGGAAGGGGCGCAAGGGGGGCGGCGGAGGCGGAAGAAGCGCATGGGGCCGGGAAGCAGGCGGAAAGTGGAACTCGCCGCCTTCTCCCGCTCCCCCTGTCACCCCCATGGCGGAAGGATGCGCGCCTGCTGCAGGCGCGGACTGTTTCCATCCGCTCTGCCCCGTGCGCATGTAAAAGCGGCGGTACTTGGCGCGCAGCTCCTCCAGCAGCGCCCAGTACTGCCCGCGGTACACCGCCATGAGCCTGGGGGAACAGGGGGTGGGGGGGTGGGAGGGGGGAAGGGAGATGAGTGACTGGAGTCTTGATAGGGATCTTAAGAAGTATTAACGCTTGGGCGCGCAGCTCCTCCAGCAGCGCCCAGTACTGCCCGCGGTACACCGCCATGAGCCTGCATGGTCAAGGGGGTGCGGATTGGGGAAGGAGGATAACGATGGGGAGGCAAAGAGAGCAGGGGGAGGGGGAGGAGGAAGGGAGAGGGGGAGGGGGAGGGGAAGAGAGCAGGAGGAGGAGGCGGAGGATGGGGGGGGGAGGGGGGAGAGGAAGAGTGGAATTGGAACCGTGAGAAAACAGCCTTGCGGGACCTGATCTCACAGCCTCGTGTTGACGCCCGAGGATGCAACATTGGAATTGGAGTCATCTAATAAAAATAAAAAAATCGGGTTTGACCAGTGATTCGGATCCTCTTCAGCTCAAAGCACGTGAATCAAGCCACGTCTGCAGCAGCCACGGAAAATAATGAATTTTGCACCGTGACTCTGGATATTAGTGAAATTAGGGTTTCGCGAAAAAAGTGAAAAACTGACTTTCTAAGGCGGTTGAGCCGGCGCTGAACCACCTCTTCCGCCGCAACCACCGGCAGATTGCGAAGACACTCGTCCAAATCCATCGGCTCCATGTCCAGCGACCCGTCCTCTCCTTCATCATCACAACCATCAGAACGGCCTCCCTCATCCCCTTCCGTTTCCTCGCCGGCGCCGCCTTTCTCAACGGCTCTAGTAGCCATTCCACGCAGCTTTGGTGCAGGGGAAAATTTAGGCTCCGGTTTGGTTGCTGCCTTATCCATTTGAGTCTCTGCCGTCATCTACTAGAACTTAGAGAGTGCTGTGAGTGGGTGACATAGCGTAACACTCGACGTACGCGATTGAGAGACTGCATTCAGGGCCTTGCTTTGCAGAGGCCTTCGTTCTCGCAACTGGAAAAAGCTGGCGATAAAAAAGGTACGCAAACGTTGTGCCAGGACTATCACTAGGTTACATCACTGTTGTTCTGTACACGAAAAACTTATCTGGCATAAATTCATGAGAAGCAAGGTGTGCAGAGCAGATGTACAGTACACAGTTCTATACCCCGGGCAGATGTACTGTACCAGGGAAAAGGTACAGATCATGTCGAAGGGGTGAAGCAAATCGTAAAAAGCCAGTGCACAACATGGATTTGGCAACTTGTGCTCAAGGGCACGAAAATTGTAGGGCATGAATGGGCGTTTTGGTGTGCCCGACAATTCACACACCCGCCCACCAACTTGAGTTTCATGAACGTGGGCTGGTGGTTTGGTGTTCCCACGCATATGACAACTCAACCATATAATACACCTAGCCCGCGGTGATTTTACACCCTGAAATTGGGCGGAAATGTTTGTTTCCACCCTGACCATTTCTGAGTGCGTCTCCCTTGTTCCTACGGCCTAAGCGCGGCAGACTCCACGTGGGAAAAATGTTTTAGCACTGCCTAAGCTAACGTCAGGTTTACTGACTCGAGAAACATTACATCGATCAGTAAACGTTTCGCATAGAAATCCAAGCTCAATTAGTTTTTCAGGGGTATCCAAATCTGGTCTTCAGGAGCTGCTTTCGGGGGGTAAATACCCTCTCAGCGGCACCCCCTGTGAAGATACTGGGTGAGAAATTACCGCAGGCTAGGTGTATCGGGTTTATCCATGGTGATTCGAGTGTTTTGGTGAAACGAACCTGGCGTCGCAAAAACAAATGGCTCGAAAGCAGACAAATCTTGCAAATTTCTCATGAACCTTCTTGCTCCCAAAAAATCCAAAGAGACACTTTCGGGCAGGACCTATGCTAGGTTTGGGAGGGTCTGTTTCTCCCAGGTTCCCCCCCCATCCCCACTCTTTTTCGTCCAAGTTGGGGGACTGGTGAATTCTGTTTAATCCGGAATCAAGGATCAAGTTGCTTTGACAGAGTTTCTCCCCTCTGCTGTGTGAATTTGCACGAATGACATGCTAAGACAGTCAGTTCATCCCGTTTAGCGAAAAATTGGAGTGGTAGCAACAAGCGAGGGAAGAGAGAGATGACAGCACAAGGGGAAGAGGGGGGCAGCTCATCCCGTTTGAGAGATTGCCTTGGTTGGAAGGGGCTAAGTGAGGCAACAGTGCAAGGGGAAGAGCGGGGTGTGGTGTGGTGTGGGGGAGATGGGGAAGGGGGGTATGGGGGAAATTCCTCCGGGTTGGGCCACAGGGGCATTCTGATTCTTCCGGAACCCGTCCCACGCACACTTGTACATCTTCCGGAACCCCTGTGTAAATCACTCGTAGAAAATCTGGATTGGACCCAGTAGAAACTCTGGAAAATAACAACATCCGGGTAATTCTTCTAAAACAACTTAGGCCTGCTTCCGGGGCTGGTCGGAGTTAGTGGGGATCGCTGCGATAACGACGCAAGATATCGATCCTGCTTACTGTACGTCAGGCGGGTGCAGCGGGACAATCCAATCAAGCCACGCAACTCCAAGTTTTGGTCCCGCCAAAGTTTGGAATCTTTGAAATCTCATTTCCGTAAGGATGGCGAGCTATAGTGAAATTATCATTCCAAAGCCAAATGGTTGAATAGAGTTGTAATCCTCCAATTTGGCTGGGGCGTGTTCGGGGTGTTTTGGTGGCGGGTGGGGGCGGATGATAGGGGATGACAGAACGAGTCTCGTCAGTCGATTCCCGTACGGACGGATGACGGCTAGGAATCAATCTGTCCTCGGATGTCAGCGGATGACCAACTGCACTCTGGACATGCTCTCAGAGCCGAAAGTGTAGGCCGCAGTGTAACTCAGACCCGGAAATTTGTGGGTGGATTCTGTGCTCACGGGCTGGTCGCCTCAGTTGGCCAGGCTGACGCTGAATACAGCCGAAAGGCCGCTTTGATTTGCTCCCAAACGATTGTCCTCATTGTACAGTGCATTCATTTCAAATCGCCAGCACATCCCACCGAAGGACCCCCCCCCCCCCCCCCCCCTTCCCCCCCCGACACCTGACCGTCCGAAATTCCACCAAAGCTGCCAGGCCACGCTGTTTCCAAGGTTCTGGCAACTCGCACCAATAAAATCGCAGCACCGCCACCGCAGCCGCCAGTATCGTGCCCTCCACACCGCCTGACAAACAAACCTCAGCCTCTCACGGGGAGAAAATCCTTGCCTTGTGACAGCCTCAAGGGGTCTCTTGCGTCTTCAAGAAGCTGCGCGCAAATTTCACTGCCACGTGTTCCGGATGGCGCATCCTGAACCGTCGATCGGCACGTGGGTTTAGTGATTCTGTGGTGGTTTTGGGCTCTCCCCCTATGGTAGGCTGGCCTCTCTCTTCGCTGGCGTGATCGCAAACCCTCGCCAATGGCCTCTGCCTGCCGCACTTGCTTACTCCCTCCCATTTCCTCAGATTTTCCCGCCTTGCATTTCGCTCAAAGCAAATTTCTCACCTCAAATTCCTCATTCTTCCAAACCAATTCCACTTCCTTGACTCCACCTTATCTCCTTTCTCTTCAAGTTCGCCGAGAAACTGGGTACTTCCCAGGAGCCGTGAGTAGAGCTGTAATGTCTCTAGCCTTCTCTCCCATTCACGCGAGCCCTCATTCTGTTTCTAGGCGCGAAGCTTAGACATTTAGGCATTTAGATTCAGCTATTTACGCGGGAAGATGAGTTCAATGATGTTACGACATCCGGTGAAGCTGAGGGGTGTGGAGGTTTATAAGGACGGCTGGCTTGCTCGCATTCAGATTCGCGGGACTCGCTGCCGCTTCGGCATGTTCTCCTGCCAGCAGGAAGCGGCACGAGTGTACGACAGGTGCGTGAAGGCTCCTGGCACTACTGCTCGTTAAGTTCGATTCGCGTCCCATTAGCCACTTAATCTTCTATCATTTGCTGCAGGGCTCTGCTTGGCAACACTTCGAATGCAGGGTTCCCTCGACTAACGTTGTTATTGGATATGTGATCATAGGGCGAGTGGCCGACTCTGCGCTAGCATTATCGCACATTTGCTGCCACGCTTGCGTTGTTCTCCTCGACTGTTCAGTAGCTAACACGTTTCTTCCCCTCTTCTCTTCTCTTCTTCTCTTCCCCTCTCCTTCCCTTCCCCTCTTCTCTTCTCTTCTCCACTTCGTCTCTTCCTCTTCTCTTCTCCCGCTCAGGCTGTCGTACAAGCTTCACGGAGCCAGAGCCGTCACCAACGGCTCGATCGACGAGGACACCAAAGCCGAGATCGAGTGTTCCTCCCTCGAGTCGATGCTGGCTGTCGTCCCCGCCATAGATCCGCACCCTCTCTACCAATCCTCGTGGCAGGAAGAGGGTGGCGAAGCGGAGGAGGACGAGGAGGAGGAGGAGGAGGCGGCGGCGGAGCAATCCATAAGTTACGACAGCGATACGACAGCTCCCTCGCCGGATAGAATCAGATCCGATAGGATCAGATCCGATAAGAGTAATCCTGCTGACACCATGCTTCCAGAGTTGCTAGTCGAAGCCGAAAGCCGCAGGCGTGTAGGCAGCAGCAGCGAGCCATGGGCGTCGCCGTGCTCGCAGGGATCTGGGAGGATCTCCCGGTCCGAAGAGTCCTCGTGCGCGTGCTGCGATACAAGGGAATGCACTAACGGGTACAAGAGCGGATCGCGCTCAGATCCCGCGGCCTGCGAATGGGACCGCCCTTCTAGAAGGTGCCACGTGGCGTCGTCCAACTCGGGGAGCGTACTCGGTATAACCGGTTCCGATTCGGGCAGCGACGAGGTGAACTGGAGCAGTGGCGGCGTGAAGAGGTCAGGCGACGGTGGCTGCAATGGCGGCGGTGACTGCGGCGGCGATGGCGGTGGCGAGTGCCCGGGCATGTTGGTGTTTACTGTGCGGAAGAAGCGGCGAATGCGGTCTCGACCGCTGACGTGGAGCAACGCCTCCCCCAGAAACGGTGCGAGTCGAACGTCGGAGATCCTCGTTAAGGGTTTCAACAGTGCACTGTTTTCGATGTGTGTGCATCGCCTGCCACGTGGCGTCGTCGATGTATCGCCCAAGGGTTTCTGTTTCTAAACCTTCCGTCATGCTTTTGCATTCTCCCGCTATGCAGGCTCGGAAGGAGTCGATGTCGGAGCTCGCGAGGCGGTTCGGACCGAAGCAGAGGTTCGGAGTGACTCGGGGGCGGAGCTTCCGATCCTGGTGAAGTCGGAGCCGTCAGCGGAGCTCGTTATGGAGGAGGCACGCGAGGCACGCAACGTCGAGTCAGGTACGAGATCTGGGTTTTCGCGCGTTTGGCGCAGCGCCGCGCGTGAGGAGTCTATTTTTGAGGCGCCTCAAAAATAGACTCCAACGTCGAGTCAGGCACGAGATCTGGGGTTTAGCGCGTTTGGCGCAGCGCCGCTCGTTTCATTTCGGGTTTGCCGCTGGGATTTTTCAGAGGAAACGCAGGGCGCAGTTCTGCCTTGCAGTCTCTGGGATTTTTCAGATCTCGCGGGTTTTGCGGGGGTTCAGCTTGCCGTTATTTCCCCGGGACGGTCCAGTTGAACAATGCGCTTAACGGGCGTCGTCGTGTGTCGTGCAGGGTCGCTGCTATGTTCGGAGGACCTACACCCGAGAGGCAAGAAGGTGGCTGCTGCTGCTTCAACTGCTGGTGCTGCGGCTGGTGCTACCGCTGGTGGTCGAACGGTGTCGGGGCGGAGGCCGAGGGCGCGCAATACCGTCAGCGGCAGAAGCGGCGGCAGCAGGAGCAGGAGCGCGGTGACGACGGTGCGGGTGGAGTACGACCCCGCGTACTGCTGGAAGCTCCGAGCAGAACCCCCGTTCCCCTCGCAGCCACGAACTGCGGACGGCCCCCCTGCTGCTGGTGAGTGCCTTGTGCTTTGTGTTTAGTGCAGTTTGTGGTGGGGGTTTGGGTACGAGGGAGACTACGGGGCGATGAATAATGAGATCGCGGGCAGACAGAATGGGATCGCGGGCAGACGGAACGAGATCAGCCAGCGCGACTTATGGCAAACAAATTGAAATCATATGTGCCAGTTTGACTCAGAGATATGGCTTCCAGGAATTGCTTTCACGTATTAGGTGGAACGAGTTTTATCGTTTTCTCACCGTTTTCCGCCATCCCCTACCCCCCTCAATCCCTTCAACCTCCCTCCCATTCAGAGAACGAAGGTTCCAGGAACAGCACCGCTGTGGAGGTGGCAGTGGCTCTCTCCAGCTGTACCCGTTTCCAGCCGCCTCGTTACACGCCCGGCAGTAGCACCACTGTAGCAGTCGAAGCTATCAAAGCGCCGGTCGAAGTAGCAGTTGCCCTGTCGAGCTCCTGCCGTCCCCAGATGGGCCCTCTCTCGCGGTGCAGCAGCAGCAGCAGCAGCAGCTGGGTCAAAAGCACAGGCGCTGGTAGCTCCAATGGGGTGGAAGCAGCAGCAGAGGGGGCAGCAGCGGCAGCAGGGGCAGCAATGGCAGCTGTGGCAGCAGCGGCGGCAGTGGCAGCGGCAGCAGTCAACAGCAGCAGCAGCAACAACAGTCCAGAGAAGACGCCTGCTTTACCTTTTGCTTGGCCCCTGCTGGTGGATGTCGCAACCTGCGACACCTACACCCCGTTCTCAATGCCACAACTCCCGCCCATGGTCCAATCCAGCCCCGCCACGTCGCCTGCCACGTCACCAGTGCACCTACGTTCGAGTGAGCCATTCTCGCATGGAAATGCAGAAGCGAAAGTGGGAGGCGCAAAGGGAGGGTGGATGGGGAGCGTGGGGATGCTCGAGGGGAAGAGGGGCGGAGAGGGGGGCGATGATGGGAAGGCGGATAGCAGCATCTATGTGGCGGCGCAGTGGCTCGTGGATATGGCTGCTGGGAGGAGCGCTGCTGTGTGCTGAGGGGTTGATGGGAGTGCGGGGGAGTGCGGATGGTGATTTCAGGCATGTGGATGAGGGTGTGGGGGTGCAGAGGATTGCCGGAGAGGGAAGGATGATTGCCCTCGGAGCACGTGTGCACCGGCTGGTTTGTCTCGGGGTGTGCTTGCTTGAGTGTGTTGGCTTGGCGCTGTTTGGGGGTTGATTATGTTGTGCATAGGTCTATGGGAGAGGGTGGCTGGGATTTGCGTCTGGTGCTGATGGGGCATGGTGCATGGTGGTTGGTGCATGTGGCATGGTGCATGGTGCATGGTGGATGCCGGTGTTCATGCCATGGTGCATGGGAGGGGGGATGCTGTGGATGGGAAGCATGTGGGGGCCAATGGGAGGGAGGGGGTTCTCTACAGACCGGGTGGTGTGCAGTTGGGGGAGACTAATTACCTTGGAGGGCGGAGCGGCTGAGCCTGCAAGCGCGCTGGATTAGGGCGTGCTGCCCTCATTTTGGTGTTTCGTTACAAATAAAGAGGTGCTTATAAATAGCATGTCTATTATTTTCTGGTGTGTGTATTACATTCCTATTGCTTATTATTGAGACCTGGTGCAAAATGTACATATAACGGTACATTCCCGAGGGTGCACATTATGATCAAACGTTCTAGAACACCTGAGTGCACTCCAGCAGGATGCCAAGCAGCACTGGTGTTTCTCCCCCAACCGGCTCTACAGCTAAGGTACCGGTACAACAAGCTGAACACCTCCGTAAAGCATATCTATCAAGCTCTGGCTTCTCCAGAGGAATCTCCTCAGATCAGCTCCCTTCACCTCTCCTCCAGCCAAGGCAACGCAATGCAATACAAGCATCTATTGGCACAACATCGCATGATGACACCACTGCGTTTGACATGACATGGCGATCCCTCACCTCTCAACTCATCTGCCCCCCCCATATTCCTCAACCTCGGTCGCCCTGTCCTGTCCGCCCATCCACCTCCACACCCATCCCCACCTCCCTCAACCCCTCCATCTGCGCCCCGCCTCTCACCTCCAATCATAGAAAAGCGCACCCCTTTTCCCCGTCATCTCTCATCTGCCCCTAAATTCCTAAGCTTGGGCCGCCCTGTCCGCCCATCCACCTCCACAGCCAGCCCCATCTCCCTCAACCCATCTGTCTGCGCCCCACCTCTCACCTCCAGCGCCGCCACGTCAGCAGCGTTCTCGGGGTTGGCTTCTAGAAGGTTCCGCACAGCCCACAGGCCCCACTCTCTGAGGAGGTCGTCCCCGAGCCGGCTGTCGCCTGCCACACACTGCTGGAGGATAAGAAAGAGACCGCTGCTCATGATGCTGCTGCTGGGCGGGTTGGGGGGGGTGGGGGTTGTTTGGGTGCTGGTGGTTGCGCTAGTGGTGGTGGTGCTGCTGTTGTTGGTGCTGTCTGTGGTGGCGGGAGTGGTGGTCGCAGTGCGATCGGTGGCAGGAGAATCAACAGCAGCAGCGGATGAGGGAATGCTGAGAGGAGCAGAGTAGAGCCTGACAGCATCCTGGTTTGCCTTGCGTCTGTGGCACGCATTGGCAATCACTGCAACCACATCCCTGCGGTAACCAGGGTACGGGTTACAGCACGGGTAGAGAGCGGCCATCACTGCTGGTCTTACAGCTGCTGGTCCTGTCACTTGCTCTCTGCTCAAACCTGCTGCTCTTGGTGATGCTTCTGCTGCTGGTGCAGTCGGTGGTGTGACAACAGGGGGTCCCAGCTCATGCAGCAGGTCCAGGAGGAACGGAATCAGCTCCGAACCTCCAACTGCTGCTAACAGGTCCGTGTTTGCCGAGCCTGGGACTGCCGAGCCTGGGACGGTCGAGCCTGGTGGTTCAGGTTCGGTGGCTGGTACGGGGTCCAGGGCTGCAAGGATGCGAAGGCACTGCAGGGAGAAGCGGAGAATGTGCCGTGCTGCTGTAGATGCTGCTGGCTCAGATAGCACCTGCTTACCAGGTACCACCTCCCTTCCAGTTGCCACCTCCCCACCAGGTGCAGCCTCCCTTTCAGGTGTCATCTTCCGCTGACTAGTTGTAACCTGGTTACCAGGACCCAGCAGCAGACCTTGAGCCTGCAGCCGTGCAACCACGTGTGCGGCGCTCTTGCAAACAGGCAGCAGGAATTTCAAACTGCCCGGACTGATCGGTGGAAAGGATTCTCCCTGCCCCATCCCGTGCCCGGTTCCCTCCTCCTGCCCCCGTTCTTGCCCCTGGTCCTGTCCCCTTAGCTCCACCATCTCCTCTCCCCTCCCCCCCCCAGAGCCATCTAGCTTCCCCACCCCCACCTGCACCCCCTGTGCCTCTGCCACTGCTGCCAGCGCCCCCCACACCCCCCACAGCAGCACTGCTTGCTCCCAGCAGAATCGCCCCCTCACTCCCTCCCCCCCCTCCACTCCCTCCCCGTTCCCCCCACCACCAACCCCCATTCCGCCCACCCCCCCCAACCTGTCAAAAAGCGGTTTGAAGAAGCTTCCTCGAAGGCACAGTCTCTCAACCAGGAGACTGAGCCATGGATCGACAGATGTGGCGGGGGAGGCTGCCGAGAGAAGGGGGGGGTGTGGTGCGGAGGGGAGGAGGTGGGGGGGATAAAGTGTCTGTGATTGAACCCTAAGAGCTCAACCAGGACACTGAGCCATGGATCGACAGATGTGGCGGGGGACGCTGCAGAGGGGGTGGGGAGGAGGGAGGGAGGGAGGAGGAGAAGGGGGGGGAGGCGAAGGTGGGGGAGGGGAGATGTGGGGGGAAACTAAGACAGTGAGCCATGGATCGACAGATGTGGTGGGGGACGCTGCAGAGGGGAGGGGGGAGGGAGGAGGATGGGGAGGAGAGGGGGGGAAGAGGAGAAGAGGGGGGGAAGAGGAGAAGAGGGGGGAGGGGAGATGTGGGGGAGGGGAGATGTGGGGGACAATTAGGAGACTGAGCCATGGATCGACAAATGTTGCGGGGAAAGCTGCAGAGAGAAGGGGGGGGTGGGTGGGTGGGTGGGTGGGGGGGGAAGTGGTGGGGGTTGGAGGGTTGGAGGGGGGAGGGGGAAGGGGGAAGGGGGAAGGGGGAAGGGGGGAGAGAGATTTCAGACATGTTTGAACCCATGGGGAGCGAGTTTGGCGGAGCTATTGCCCCCATGCTGACCCACACATTGCAGTGTGTGCACCGGCGTGAGGAGTCTATTTTTGAGGCGCCTCAAAAATAGACTCCTCTTGCAGTGTGTGCAGCGGTGCGCAGCGGTGTGCCAGGAACACACTTGAGCCAAACCTCAGAGTCCTGGGCACATAGGGTGGGAATTTGTAATGAAGCTGAAACGAAGCTGAAACGAAGTGAACCAGAGACATACCGTGATCATGCGGATTGGGAGCGAGCCAAGTCCATTCCTCCTCCCTCTCCTCCCACTCCTCCCACTCTCCCAACTCCTCCCCACCCTCCTCCTTCTTTTCCCCGTCCCCTGCTCCCCCCCTCCCCCTCCACTTTCCCCTTTCCCCTCGCAAAATCCCCCCTAGCACACCCACTCCCTCCCCTGACCCCCCCAGATCTTCCGCTGCTTTCTGATTGGTCCGCACGCACGTGAACAGTACCATGCACAGTGCCGACCGCACCCCCACCGCCCCCCCCGCCGCCCCCCCTGCCGCCCCACCTGCTGCCCCCTCTACAGCAGCCAGGCGGGCGAAGGTTCCAGGAAAGCACCTGTCCCACACCGCCAGCTGCTGCCGCCTGCCCCCGCCGCAGAAGTTTCCCAGAAGCTGCAGCACCGCGTTGAGCGTGTCTAGGTGGTTGGGGGGGAGGGGGACGGAGCGGGGGAAAGGCAGGGTGGGGGGAAAGGGGGCGGGGGAGGGGGCGGGGGAGGCGGAGAGAGGGAAGGCGGATAGAGGGGAAGGGGAGTGGGGGAGGGGGAGGGGGCGATGGGGGAAGGTAGAGGGAGAGGGGGGAGGTTGGAGTGTGGGGGGTGGGGGAGGGGGAGAGCAAGGGAGGGATGTGTGCTTCGGCTGATAGAATTGAAGTGCCGGTTGCTGCTTAGGCTCCCTGCTGCTGCTGCTGCTGCTGCTGCTGAAGCCACGTCAGCACCTGGTGCTCCAGCCACTGCTGACGTGGCTGTGGCTGCTGCTGATGCGGCCCTGGTCCCCTCTAAATCCGTGCTTCTCTCGGCTGCTGTACCCCCCACTTCAGCCATTAACGAGGCCAAAGCATCTGATAACGAGGATACACTTCCCATCCCCTTCACCTTAGTCACATCACCCTTAATCACATTCCCCCCCCCTTTAGCTTCCCCCCCCATTCTCCCCCCTCCCCTTGCCTCTCCCCCATCATCCCCGCTACTAGCTTCCCCCGTTTTCTGCGCCTGGCTTGCGCCCGTTCCCGCCCCTGCCTGCAGGACGCGGCTCGTAATTAATCTGTCCGCGATAGTAGCCACTATGTCCACGGCGCCGCACCTCAGGAACGCGTCCTGATTGGCTGCCGAGCCTGCCAGCAGGTTCCGAACCACACGCAGCGCCTGCAGCAGCGGCCGAAGCGCATGTACCGCCCAGATGCTACTACTGCTGGGAGCACCCGCAGATTGCCTCTCGGGACCATCATTTGCGGCGCCACTCGTGGCGCCAGATGCGGCGCCAGTTGCGGGAGTGGAAGGTTGCGCCACGTCAGCATCGGCGACATCTGCGGGGTGCAGGAGGCCGCGGAGCTCCGGGCAGTGCTGGGAAAGCTCGGGCAGGACGCCGACCAATCGCGTGACAGCAATTCCGCTGCCCGCGACTCCAGCGCTGCCGTTGCTTCTGCCCGGAGAACTGCCCGTGGAAGAAAAGGTTTCTTCCGTAAGCCAATCGCGGTCGCGCGATCGGGCGAGGAGATTCGAGAGCGCTTCGGCGAGTGGGTCTAAGGAGCCGACATCGCCATTCGCGAAGCGAGGGGCGAGAGATTCGACTTCCGCTATAAGTGAGTCCATGGTTAGACGTAACTTGACAATGTGGGGAGGAGTATTCCGCGAAAGAGGGCGATTGTCGCGGTGAAAAGAGTGAAGGATAGTGTGCAGTGAGTACTTCTGTCATAAGTATTGAGAGGAATTTTAGGTTAGGATCCACGCCTTAGAAATAAGAAATTGTTTGTAATTTGCTGCCCTACATAGCGCACGCGCTAATTTGTGCGAAGATGCTTGTTGCGAGTTCGAGGGTTGAGGTGCGCGAAAGATGAGCGAATTGTTTTGCGAGTCACGAAGCGTTACCATAACAGGTCAATACTTTCCGCGCGAATAGTCGCAAAACTCTCTAGCTTTTCGCATGACTAACTCGATCTTCTCGTCTCGTCGCGAAAATTCGCGAGCCTCTCCCCAACCCCGCCGTCCCGCCAGTCCCCGCTACCTGTCCCCGTCTCCGCGGATAAGGGGAACCAAACCAGCTGAGCCCAGTCGCTTTCCGCCCTAGCACCTGCTGCCGCACTCCCCCACCGCACCAAGCCAAGGCTGGTAAGGCCTGTCCACCTTGGCGGCGATTTCGGATTCTGAATCGTGGATGCTGACCACCAGCCATCAACGTCGCTCCACACCACACTGCCATTACCCCCACGCCATCACAGTCACTGCCTTCTCATCGCTTTCCCCGCGCCACCCCTTCGCAGTCGGCCACTGCCTGTAAAATCCACACCTTTCAGGTACTATCTGCGTCGTTAGTCGTCACACCCGAAGCTTCCGCGAATCACCGCGTTCGTTCCTCGAAGCTTCGGGTCCGATGGACCTCGCGGCCCGGGTCCAGTGGGCAGTGCAGCAGCCAGTCAACCCGTGCCACGTCGGCCCATCAATACGTGCCAGCTGCAGCCGCGGAGGCGATGGCGGAAGCCCTAACCTCGTCCTTCTCTCCTCTTGCGCCACTTCCGCCGGATTCCCCCGATTCCCCGCGCGGACCTCCCCCGCGTGCGCTCGAAGCTCCGCCGCTTCAGCCCCCCACCCACGCCCTGTAGTCGTTTTCCGCGCGGGCAGCCGCCCATTAGCATCTCCGGGCAGAAGAAAAAGAGTTCCGGTTCCGGTTGCTCTGACTGTGACTATAACGGAGGGTTGGGGGTTGGGCCTGGGAGAGGCAGGCTCGGTGGCAGGATCGGGGAGAGGCTCGGCATGGGGCAGGGCAGGCTCGGCAGGGAAGCCAGCAGGTTGGGTGAATGGGAGAAAAGGCACCGTGGCAGCAGCAGCAGCGGTCTCATTGGCTGGGGACGGATCAAATCTTGACAAGCCAATGATTGCAAGCGAGATGCTGACGCAGCAAAAGCAGGAGCAGGAGCAAGAGCAGGGGAGGGATGGAGCAGCAGGGGCGAAGGGTGTGGTTGAGGGAGAGAGTAAAGGAGGAGGAGAGAGTGGAGGGGGGAGAGAGAGTGTGGGAGTGGAGGAGGTATTGGAGAGGATGAGGAGCGCTGTGCGAATAGAGTGTCTGGCTGCAGACATGCACGTGCATGTAACAGGTGTGATGTGGTAACATTTCATGTAACAGGTAGCATTCATTCCACAGTGACAGGTTATGTGCTTGTCTACCCTAGAGAGCTACCCGCAGGTGTCCCCACCGTCTAAGCCATCCAGGTGGTACCCCAAACCCCAAAACCCAAAACCCTGAAACCTCACATCCGCCTGATGCCTTCCTCCCATCTTCGTGTGATGGTAGTTTCGTTTCGAGTCGACTCAAAAACGAAATCACCATCACGCCAAACCCACACATCCGCTTCACGCCTCCCTCCCATCTTCTTCCCCACTAGTTTTGAGGCGCCTCAAAACTAAACCCACACGTCCGCCTCATGCCTTCCTCCCATCTTCTTCCCCAACTTTCAAATGCCCAGTGCCCCATCATATGCCCCCCTCGTGCGTCTACTACCATCTCCTCAGTCCCCTTCGTCAACCAACCAATCCCGTGCCGCCAGGTGTGCAGTCCCTGATGGGCATGGAGGGCACGTGGCAGCTCCTCGTGTCGCCAGCTGGCGGCCGATTTGTGGAGTCCTTTGTCGGGCGGCACATCTGGAGTGTCTCGGGATTCGCCGGCCAATCAGAGACCAGCGAATCTGATAGCAAATCTAGCATATCTGATGCCGGATCCTGGAACGCAGATGGTGACAAGGATTGCAACCCAGTCTGCAACACGGTGTGGGATATCGATACGGCCGGCAGAGTATCTGCACTGGATCTGGACGATCACGAGGTGTATCTGCTCTCCGTGTGGCTCCGATCGTCCCTCTGGCTGCTGCCGCCTGTCGCCAGCTCTGCGCTCGATATAAGAATAGTGGGCGACGGGGAGGGGGCAGGGGAGGAGGGAAGGGAGGGGCAACGCAAAGGGGAAGGGGAGGAGGAGGGGGATAAGGTGATGGGCGCGGAGAGGGAGGGCTCGTGTGTGATACCGAATGGCATGAGGATGGAGATAGATGCTCACGTGGCAGCACAGGATAGGGTGATCCTGGCGATGAACTTGACTGGTCGGGAGGTGGGTCGTGGGCATGCATTGATTGTGGTGGGTATGCATGCTTGTGTGGGTATGCATGCTTGTGTGGGTATGCATGCTTGTGTGGGTATGCATGCTTTTGTGGGTATGCATGCTTGTGTTGGTATGCATGCTTGTGTCAATCTTGACTGCCAAACTTGACTGTCAATCTTGATGCCAATCTTGACTGTCAATCTTGACTGCCAAACTTGACTGTCAATCTTGACTGCCAATCTTGGCTGTCAATCTTTACTGCAAAACATGACTGTCAATCTTGACTGCCAATTTTGACTGCCTACCTTGACTGTCAACCTTGACTGCCAATTTTGACTGTCAATCTCGACTGCCAATCTCATTTGCCAATCTTGACTGCCAATCTTGACTGCCAATCTTGACTGCTAATCTTGACTGCCAGTCTTGATTGTCAATCTTGACTGCCAATCTTGACTGCCAGTCTTGACTGTCAATCTTGACTGCCAATCTTGACTGCCAATCTTCACTGCCAATCTTGACTTGACTGCCAATCTTGACTGTCAATCTTGACTGTCAATCTTGACTGTCAATCTTGACTGCCAATCTTGACTGCCAATCTTGACTGCCAATCTTGATGCCAATCTTGACTGTCAATCTTGACTGCCAATCTTGACTGCCTATCTTGACTGTCAATCTTGACTGTCAATCTTGACTGCGAATCTTGACTGCCAATCGTTCCTGTCAATCTTGAATGTCAATCTTGCGCTCCTGTCAATCTTGGCTGTCAACGTTTATTGTCCATCTTGACTGTCGATGTTTACTGCCAATCTTGACTGTCAATCTTGCTTGACTGTCAATCTTAAGTGTCACTTTTTACTGTCAATCTTGACGGTCAATTCTTGACTGTCAATCTTGACTGCCAATCTTGACTGCCAATCTTGACTGCCAATCTTGACTGCCAATCTTGACTGCCAATCTTGACTGCCAATCTTGACTGCCAATCTTGACTGCCAATCTTGACAGCCAATCTTGACTGTCAATCATTACTGTTAATCCTTACCGGCTATTAGAATGTTTTTCCAAAAGTTTCGGTTACACAGCAGCTCATCTTCTGTCATGCCATTTCGTCCCTGCTCCTCCCCCCATCCAGGTGACCATGTACGTGGCCGTGCACCGCTCTGATTGGTTGCCTCGTGTGGCAGTGGTGAAGGCGTACGGTGCTCTTGAGACCTTCACTTTCAGCCTATGGGCGCCTGTAGCGGTACGCCAGCAGCGGCAGGGTTGTAGCATCAGGATGTTGCATCGGGGAGGGGCGACTGGCATGGCATACTGTGCATGGCTGGCTGGCTGGCTGTATCTGAGTGGCTAGAAAAATTCACCTTTCAGCGATGCATGCCCGGAGTGGTACGGCTGTAGCAGCATTGCTGTAACGTTAAGCCTGTGGCAATATAGCAGCATGGCAGCAGCATTGTGTGTGCCATCGAGAACTCATGTGCCAGTAATACTCCCACTGACCCCTCATACCCTCGTGCTGACCTCTCAATTGCCCCCTTCTGCCTCTGTTTCTTCTTTCCTCACCCACCCTCCCAGCCCGACTGCGAGTTCCTGCTGCCCGCTACAGTGCACCGGGAAACCTCAGCAGGCGCGCAGCAAACGTTTTCGGCTGCCCGGACCTCTGTGTTGCCGCCCGGCCAGGCCCATATCGTCCTGCGTGAGAGGGAGGGTATTGCTGCTCCTGGTGTTACTGCTGCTGCTGCGGGTGGTTTTGTTTGTGCTGATGGTGCTGCTGATGGTCCCTCGGAGGAGTCAACGGCTCGCACGGAGGACTCGTATCGCATGCCCTTTGCTTTCTCCTATCACATGCCAGCCACTCGCACGGTGCCCAGCCCGTTGAGCTCCTGCCCAGAAGCTTCCTTTGATGAGAGTGCAGCAGCAGAGGTGGATCTTTACCAGTCCAACAGCGGACACCTATTGGTGCGACCCCTCATCAACGGCCAGGATGTGGGGTGAGTTTTGTCTGAACGGTCAAGATCTAGGCCCCTTTGATGAGAGGGCAGCAGCAGAGATGGACCTATACCAGTCGAACACCGGGCACCTCCTGGTGCGGCCCCTCATCAATGGCCAGGATGTCGGGTGAGGGATCGGATCGACGGCCAGGATGTAGCTTTTTTTTGTTCCTGTCAATCTAGAGCTGGCCAGCTTCGCGTGCGTGCACACGGTGACAGTGCATTGAGCCCGTAGTGGCTGATAACCTAGGTCTGGCCGGCTTTGCGTGCGTGCACACGGTGGACAGTGCTCGGGCCTGCTGCCATGGGCTTACAGCCCTCTCTCCCTTAACCCCCACTCCCCGGCGTCCCCCCTCCCCCACCCCCCACCTCTTCCAGGTATTTCATTCTGGAGGTGATTTTTGAGTCGACTAAAAAATCTCCTGCTGCCATGGGCTTACAACCCTGTGATAGAAGTCTAGTTTTGAGGCACCTCAAAAGTAACCCTGTGATAGAAGTCTACTTTTGAGGCACCTCAAAAGTAACCCTGTGATAGAAGTCTAGTTTTGAGGCGCCTCAAAAGCAACCCTGTGATAGAATTCTAGTTTTGAGGCACCTCAAAACTCAAAAA